CCCCCACCACTCTTCCCTGCCTATGGCAGGGGGTCAGACTTGATGATCTGCTCAAGTCCCTTCTGACCCTACCAACTATGAGACCATGTCCAGAGCCAGCAGGGAGTTGGTCCTCCAAAAGAGATGCTCTGGTTTCAGCCAGAGAGTCTCTTTGGTGCTCCTGCTGCCCCCGGCCCCCAGCACTGTCCAAGGTAAGTGTGGGTGGGAAGGGGTTCATGGGTGTGGGTGGGTGAGGGGTAGCAGGGGGATATAAGGAGGGGGGGAGGATGTCCCCGGGGCTGCAGGGGGTAAGGATCTGGCTCAGATCCCTGCGGCTTGCTAGTCCAGCTTTGAACCAGAGCGGGTCACACAGCTCTGGGACCTGCCCCGGTGAAAAGCTGAGCTAGAGAGCCACGTGGGGCTGGGCCAGGTCCTCAACCCCCCACCGGCACAGTGGGGCAGAGGCAGAAGCCAGCTCTGGGTCCCAGCCCAGCTGGGCCTGGCCTATGGTGACAGGACCTGGCGTGCAGCACCAGGTCCTACCACCTGGCCAGGCCCTTCCTATAGTGGCAGGACCAGGTCCAATGTGCAGGAACTGCGCAGAGTCGAGCCGGGTCTTGCCGGCCCTGGGGCTGCTCATGCCGCCCAGCTCCACACGGTCCCCCATGAGCTGGGCCGGGTCCTGCACTATAGGAAGGGCCCAGCTGGGTGGCAGAGCAGCACCAAGGGTGACAGGGCCCGGCATGCAGGGACCGCATGCTGCGCAGGGTCTTATTGCCCTGCCCAGCCAGGTGGCAGAGAGGCCCCAGGACCCAGCTGGGTCCGGCACGCAGTCCCCACATGCCACGTTGGGTCCTGCCACCGCGAAACCAGCCCGGCTAGGTGGCAAGAGGAGCCCCAGGGCCGGCAGGACCCAGCTGGGCTTGGTGCACAGTCCCCCCGCTGCTGCTGTGAAAGGTCAGTTAGAGGCCCTGGGTGGAAGGGCTGGGGCCTCCAGGGTGGAGCTGGGACCCTGCAGGGGGGGGCCTCCAGGGTGCCTGGGACCCTAGGCAGGGGGGTTGGGGCCTTGTGGGGAATAGGGGCTGTGGCCCTCCAGGGGCAAACTGGGACCCTGGGCAGGGGCGAGGGGACATTCCATGTGCTGGGTACTTCAGGGGGGAGCTGTGGGGGGGCATTCCATGTGCTGTGTGGGGGGCTGCAACCTGTGGGGGCCAGGAGACCTGCCCCCCTAGCAATTGCCCCACACCAACCCACATCCCTCCACACACACACCCCCATTCTCACCCCCTTCCTGTAAACACCACATCCCTCCCAATCACACACCCATCATGTGTGAAAAAAACAAAAAGTACACATCAACATATATAGGTATTTAGAATTTATTTTCATGTTGATAGAGACACTGGTAGGCTTCCAAACTGCTTTAACATTGTAAATATACCAATAAAGCATTACGCAACTGATCGCTGTCTCGCTCTCTCTATAGGTGGGTGGGTGGAGTGGTTTTTTGTTTTAACTGTGGAAGAACATGGATTTGGGGGTATTTTTAAAAATGGATTTGGGATGCTGCTGCAGCAGTCCAGCTGGCACAAGGGGTATGTCCCCAGGTACCAATTGGCTGGGCCCCAGAAGCTCCTGAGAGCAAGTAGCCCTGAGATGCTTGCCAGGGCAGCTTTTTGTAGGGATGGGGCCAGGACAGGGCAGCTTTTTATACTGCTGGGGACAGCACAGGTGCTGGTCCCAGGCTCTAGCTCCCCCTGGCTGCAGATCCAGGAGGACCCAGGCAGGGTTATTTTGCCCCAGGTGGCACAATTTGCTCCACAACAAAGTACATGACCGAGCACATGTGCTGAGGCAAAAAGCCCCGGCTCAAATCTGCACTGCTTCTATTTGAGCTGCTGCAAGCGCACATGCTTGCATGCATGGACACACCCAAAGAGAGAATACGTAAGCTGCAAGATTCTGTAATGCACTTCAAGGGTAGCCAGTGAACTCTGGGCAGAAAGGATGTCAAAGATCTACAGGCCAACTAGGCTTTCAATTTTCTCCTTCAGCTAATTTACCTCTCCGTTCAGTTGCTCTAGCACCAGTTTGCATGCTTTGCCATCATGGTCAACCTGCTTTCATAGCAGTCAAGCTCATCACTAGTACCCATACCTAAGTAACTCCTTTTTTCACGGTCTTACACAGATCAGTGCCACCAGATCTTCACAGTCTCATCCTCTGCAATCATCTAAAAGGATAAGACAGGTTTAATTATTCAGTAAGTACTGTATTTAAAAGCAGGCACCAAAATATTTAGTTTAGAAAGTCCCCTCCTTCCAATGCTTCACCTTTCCCTTCTTGCCCTCATTACATCTTTGTAACAGACTAGCACAGAAGGTGGTAGGGAGGGGGATAGAGACATGTAGAACTTCTTGCTTGCATGCTCAACATCTTCTCCTTCCCTATGCTGTCTGCCACAGCATCTCTTTCTAGCTCCCCCCTCCATTACAGGGAACTCTCAGAAAGTCCTCTTCTTTCTTAAGGGTTACATAACACATTTACCCTTCCTTAAACTAGGAAAGTACAGGACAAAAGCATTCACATAAAAGAAATTAAGGTTCCACAGCCAGGACTGCCTGTATACAGCTCACCCAGTTTGTATCAGGTACATCAGGCTTCTGCTCCTCCATAACCAATTTCCTGCTTACACTCAGGAAACCCATTCTTACTAGGCTCTTCTTCTGTCCTGACTAGCACATCCTCTGCCGTCTTCATCAAACTTCACCTGGCTTTAGTCAGGATTAAATCAGGGTATTTAGTTTCTGCTTTTCTTAGCTAATTGGTATTGCCATAACAAAAAATAAGTTTCCAGATACCAGCACACCAAGAGACTGAATTTTCATTCATTTATTTATTTATTTAGGGAAAATGAAAGTGAAAGCCAAACCAAAACAAATAAATCTATGCAGCAATATTTTCAGAGGGAGGGTCTGGGAAGAGAGAGAAACAAAATACACTTAAACTGACTTTCACTTAATCTATTTTACCACACGCATACCACTCACTCATATAACACCTTTCCTTCAGTTAAGTGAGGGGAAGGGAAGGAAACATTCCCCCAATTTATACAACCCCACAAACTCCAGACTACTATTATAAAACAATCACACTTCTCTTATAACGTAACTTTTCAGGTACAAATCTTGGAAATCTTACCAAAAATTCAAGAGCATGGACACTTCTTACCAAAATAATGATGGAGTCCCTCCATCTATCCATAGTATCTACCAATGGAGGAACCAACATCTCTGGACTACTCTTGTCCTTCTCTATCTGTATCAGCATGGATTGGTAGGAGCCTAATAAATGTGAAGTCTCCTACAACTACTGAAAGACAAAGGGATCATTCTCATCCTGTCCTTTGGATACCATGAAGAAATATATCTCTGTTAGCCTACATTTTCTTAATCTCTCGACATCCCTACGCTTCAAGGTGGTTGGGGCACTTTAATGAAAGCTTGTTCAATGAACTTTCGTTAAAGCACCCCTGCTGCCATTTTGAAATGTGGGACGCTGAATAAATGTGACACTGCAGGCACTTTAATTAGAGCACTAATTAAAGTGTTCCCATCCCCCTACCCTGGAGCACGTGTGAATACGCCCTGAGTTTCACTGCTGCTGTTTGTGGTACTGCAGCAAAGTGATGGAGTCACCTACAGACTCAGATGGATGCCACTACCTTATAGTTTACACTGTTCAAGTTTAGAAGGTATTCCTCACAGGTGTAAGGCCTAAAAACAACCTTTTAAAGCTGAGACAGTCAATTATTTTGAGAAGAGAGCCACTTACTAAGTTTTGGCAAGCCATCGAGGACCACATGACAGGCAAGCAGGTGCAAATAAATATTAATTTTCTAAAATTTTTAGGAGCCCACTGGGCCAGATAGAATGGCCTGGCGGGCTGCATTTTGTCCACCCTTGTTTTTATGCCAGATCATGAAGAAGTAGCTGATGTTCACATGGAAAAGAGGTCTTTAGCCATCCATTTTAAAGAAAGATTCCTCTCCAAAGATTTTCCTGCTTCTCCAATTCTCTTAGACTTCTCAACTCTAATGGCCATAGTCTGGGTACACTGGCTAACTTTTCAAAAGATTTCCCCAGCAGCAGATAATTTTATAGACACCAAATACAAGCACTAATTACTAATTTAGACAAGGTTCTTTGGGTAGATGTGATATCTTTTATTAGATCAACTAAATAGTTGAAAAAAATTGTTCCTTGCAAGCTTTCGGCACAAACACCCTTCTTCAGGTTTAAGGAGTCTTTTGGTGTTTGTGTGCTCTCCTGGGTACAATAGAGCCAATATGCAAAATGCAGGTCTGTGAAAATGCAAATGCCTGGCAATAAGGATCTGAGGGAATGGGAAATGGTAGGTGAGAGACAGGTGGGGAGGGGGATGGAGGAATGTAGAACTAGTGATAGGAATATAGCTGGTAAAATTCAGACTTGGTTACTGGGGTTACCAGATGGCAGGTGTTACTAATGTAGACATAAAAGACATAATGTATTTCTCCATTTGCCATTCTTAGATGATTAACAGGTCTTTCAAACATTAGAGGGCTGTTTGTGAAAGATTTCCACTGGCCTGTAAGGTGGCAAATGCTTCCTTTCTAAAAGGCAGGCAAGGTTCTTTGAGTAGATGCGATACCTTTTATTAGACCAAGCGAGTAGTTGGAAAAAAGTTCTTAGCAAGCTTTTGGACACAATCACGATTTCTAAAAGTGAAGAGTCCCAAATATGGTATCTTACACAAAATCCACATTCACCAGTGTAAGTGTCCTCAGGTCAATTCCTGTTCCCCTTCACTGGCTGTCCAGTAGCTCAACAATTTAACAGTCAGAATCAATTTTTGCATATTTGCTAGGTCAAGCTGGGTACTAAGAACTGCAAAATTCTCCAAAAGACACAGCATACCCAAGGGCACTACTTTAGGCTAAGCTAAACACTGAGACAATAGCTTTGATTCCCGGGGATCCACTGTTGTTCTAGTTGTTGATGATACTTAAGTTTCTGAAAGGGAAGATTAAGTCTATTAACCAACAATAGTTAGTGGTTAATTGCCAGCGATTACTGATACTCAGGTAGCAGTTCTTACTTGATCCCTTCAGAATGACAGGTTTGATCAAACTTGTATAAAAGATCTTCATTAAAGAGTATGAAGCAGCCAAGTGGCTGTGAAGTAATTCTTAGATCTATCAACATCTATTCTCAATAAAGTGCCTGAGGAACCCCACTGAGGCTTTTTTCTTTTCAATAATGCCAAGACCATTTTATTATCCAGCTGAGATCAGAGGTTAGCGAGAGGCAGAGTAGCTGCCCAAGTTATTTAAGGAAACACTTTTAAAGAAGTACAAAATAAGCCTTATTATTAACTATATACTTTATTTCATTTAACACCTATGGTCAGGACAAGTTTCAAATACAGATTTAGGATTGATACGCTATTAAATTAAAATCAGATTTAGCTACCCATGCAACCCCTGCTACAAATCAGCTCATACTCTCACTAAAAACACCAGCAATAAGCCTTGTGTGTTATGTAAAAAGAGATTAATGTGAAACCTTACCAGAACTTTTCTTGAAAGGGAAAAAATACCAAGTAATAAAATAATGTACGCTTCAAACAGATGTCATGAAAAAGTAATCCATGTTCAGTTTCTATATATAAAAGGTGGGTTTACTTAGAGACATCTGTCTGAATTGCAAACACTGACAGTAAGCAAGCTCTCATCCAGCACTTAATTAAAGGCCTCTACTGACTTTATATTTAAACAGTCCTGAAACAGCAGATATGAATAAACTCATCCAACCAAAATCATTTGGATTTTCTAAAGTCCACAGCTTACTCTCTCAGCAGTCTGGGATTCCTTCAGCCTATTAGGACCCAAACTGATTCACATTTTTTACCCCAAAACTCCAACAGTGTCCTTTGGTTATCATGCAATCTACAGTTGATACTAATTTTCTGAAGTTTTATAAGAGTTAACTGTTAAATAGCAGCACATTACCTTTGTGAGACATTTAGAGTCAGGCTTGTGCTCTGCTACATGAACAGACAACTTGTTAAGAGTCAGCACTGAAGATGCCGGAAGTATTTCTATACATTTGTTCCACAAAGAGCTGACTCCAATTAATGTGTTGAACTAGATGACTCAAGGTTCAGTCTTGGCTAAAGGCTTTTAAATGAGGATGACTAATGAATGAAAAATCAGGATAAACTATTCCTTATGCGCTTAAGTTACTGCACAAGTATCAGCCACTGCTTGAATTACTTGTATAGAGTTGTACTGAAGTCAGGTACAGACAGGGATAAAATTCCCCATTTACTTCATACCAGGGGGCCTGATTCAGAGATTATAAAGTTCAGTTGTACCAAATTTAAAAAGAAAACAAAAAAATCTTTCATTAAGTGTTGGAGGGAATTCTTCAGGGGGGGAGGGAGAAAAAAAACAAAACCCACATCTGAGCATTGTGAAAAGGGTTCCAATATCTCCACAAGCAAGTGTTACTCACTGCAGAGTACATAAAGTTTAAACCCATCCCCAACCCATGTCACCTGCTCCCTCCCTCCCAGCGCACCAGCAGCTGCAGTGGAAAGGGAAAGCCATCGCCTGCTACTGCCACCCACAGTTTCATATGCGCTGCATTGTCTGGCAGGGCTTGCCACCACCACCTCCTCCCCTCCACTGTAAAAGGCCTCGGGGAGCAGCTCCTAGCAGCAGCTGTGTCCAAGTGGGTCTGTGCACAGCCCCTGGCTACACATGCTGCTCCAGCCAGGAGATGGTACCCCTCCCTACCAGCACTGGGGCAGAGCATGCACTCATCCAGGGCTCTGCACCCCCACAGCCAGGACTAGGCATGTGTTATTGGTTAACCATTTAACCGATATAATTAGAAGTTACACAGACCCCTTTTTAAATGATATTTACATCCCTACTTCACATTTGGTATGTTTCTTTTGTAACCTGTTGTATTTATTGGCATTGACTACAATACCAACATATACACTAGGGGCAGAACCAGCTCGCTGTTCCCACTGGGCGAAGCCAGTGCTATAGCCCCAAAGCACCCAGCAGCCAGGGTGTCTCCCACTACTGTCCAGACCAGCTCGCTGCTTGAGCTCCAAGGGGCCCGATCCTTTTTTCTCCAGAGCTTGCCCCACTGTGCTTCTGCCAGAGGGAGCAGTGAGCCGGTCCAGGTGGCAGTGTGAGGCACTGTGGCTGCTGGGTGCTCTGAGATTGTGCTCTGCCTGATGTCCCTGGGGGGTGAGGCACCATGCCCAGTCCCGCTGCGCTCCAGCATCCCCACTCACCCACTGCATCCTAGAATACTGAAGGACTTCAATTTGGGCAAAATAACTGTGGGAAGTGGCCACACCTTAATGGAACAGGAGCAAAATTAGAAAGATTAGAGAGAATCCTGCCCTGGAGTGGCCTACCTTTAAGCCGAATAATGAGTGCTTTAAATTCCTTAAAAAGTGTTAATGTGCAGCCCATCCAGCAGTCAAGAGCTCCAAAAACTGCCTAAAATTACCAGATAACAAGGCCCAAAGTAAGCAGTATCTGCTGTAGGGGAGGGAAGGGGAGATGAAGAGGTTGTAGAGGGGGATCAGTTGCAAGGCACAGGGCAGGAAAGGGGATGCGCTGGGTTGAGCTTCCTGCAACTGATCCCTGGAACTGCGGATTGCAATTGGCCATGGGCCACAGGCTGGGCTCCCACTGGTGTAGCCTACCATCATTAAAAGCCAGCTCTTCCCCCCACACTATGTACCGACTGATGCAACCATTAACTCGTAATATTACAAGTGAATGATTATTTATAATTATTCTATTAGAGCAAAAGAATACAGAAAGTGCAAGTTAGTTTACCTGTTTATCCTTCTTTCCTCACACCGTCTCAGAAAAATAAATTCACTATTTTCCCATAAAAACCCAATTACTTTCCAGAAAACCAGTAACAGCAATCACAAGGCTACAAAACCAGCTGAAAAACAGATAAGAATTATTCAAATCATCATACAGTGCTCTAAGAAACAACCTATTGTGTTTTAGTACAATGATGTTTTTGGTTGGTTTTACTGTATTTCTTGATACAAACCCCTTTTCCCCAAAACCAGCTATTTGAAACTGGAGTAAGCCTTAAGTGCAATGAAATACGTTAACAGCAGTTTCTTCCACTTAAGCTTCTTCCAGGCAAAAGCAAAAGCAACGCTGCACATCATCTACCGACAGCAGGACAATGAGTGGACAGACACAGCTCCCTTCCTGGTACTCAGTTACTGCAAAGAAAGATTGTTTTTTTAAAAGGTAGAATTAAAAATTATGTGCATGTCTTATTCCGTGCATGTTGCATGCAAGAAAGCATGGTATTTATAATTAGAAATTACAAAACAGGCAGAAGGCCCATAAGACGCAACGGATGTTTCCAGACCTTCTCATTAAATACCCCCAGGATCCACACACACACACACACACACAGAAATTTAAATTAGTTTTTACATACAGATGTTCAGCATGGTCAGCATTGGTTTGTGTCATTTTTCTTATTTAGAAATCAGTTATTCCTACTGGACAACAAAGCTGAAAAGAATCATATGCGAGAAAGGAAAGGTATGGAAATCAGAACAGGAAAAAAGAGGTACAGCTACTCCTCGCTTAACACTGTAGTTACGTTCTTGAAAAATGTGACTTTAAGCAAAACAATGTTAAGCGAATCCAATCACGTCACAGTAGTTACCTACTAGCAGGCGGCAAGCAAACAACATTAAAACTGAACACTGCGTGACTTTAAACGAGTATAATCTCTAATAGATCAGTGATGTAATAACGAAACAGCATTAACTGGGACGACATTAAGTGAGGAGTACCTGTATTTGTACAAACGTGTGTGTAAAAAGCAGTGCTATTTTGAATTTCTGCAGAAGCTTCTTTCTGCGCTACTTTATCCCAAATTATTTTCTTCATTCTGTTCTTTGTAGACTATTACACCAATTGGCTTGCAATTTGAGCAGACTATACAATACGAAGGCATGAAACAGTATGTTTCTTTAAGAGGGACAACTTGAATGTACCAAAAACTAAGTAGAAAGAGTTTGTAAAAAGTTTTCAATCAACTTTGCGCATATGATAGCACTTTGCATAAAGTCTACTTCATTATTTTTCATTATGTAGCTACTATTTCACATGCACTTCAATTTAAGACCTCCTTTTTCAAAGGGAAAA